GATTGTGTTCTTTGCAGCCAAAGATGGAGAAGCTCTATACAGCCAGAAAAAACAAGACCTGAAGCTGACATGTGGCCCAGACCCTTATTACAAAATTCAGGCTTAAACTGAAGAAAATGAGGAAAACCACTAGTCCATTCAGGTTTAACCTAAATCAAATCTGTTAAGCTTATACAGTTGAAGTGATGAACAGATACAAGGGATTAAATATGGTAGACAGAGTGCCTGGATAACTATGGACAGAGGTTTGTAACATTGTACAGGAGGCAGTGATTAAAATCATCCCCAAGAGAAATGCAAGAAGGCAAAGTCGTCATCTGAGGAGGCTTTACAAATAGCTGAGGAAAGAAGAAAAACGAAAGACATGGGAGAAAGGGAAAGATATACCCAACTAAATGCAGAATTCCAGAGAACAGCAAGGAGAGATAGGAAAGCCTTCTTCAGTGAACAATGCGAAGAAATAGAGGAAAACAATAGAACAGGAAAGAGTAGAGATCTCTTCAAGAAGATTGGTGATATCAAGGGAACATCTCATGCAAAGATGGGCATGATAAAGGACAGAAACGATAAAGACCTAACAGAAGCAGAAGAGGTTAAGAAGAGGTGGCAAGAATACACAGAAGAACTATTTTTAAAAGGTCTTAATGACCTGGATAACCACAATGGTGTGATCACTCACCTAGAGCCAGACATGTGGAGTGAGAAGTCAAGTGGGCCTTAGGAAGCATTGCTATGAACAAAGTTAGTGGATATGGTTGAATTCCAACTGAGCAATTTTAAATCTTAAAAGATGATGCAGTTAAAGTGCTACACTCAGATTGGAAAACTCAGCCATAGACACAGGACTGGAAAAGGTCAGTTTTCATTCCAGTCCTAAAAGAAGGGCAATGCCAAAGAATGTTCAAACTACTGTACAGTTGCACTCATTTCACTTGCAAGCAAAGTTTACTCAAAGTCCTTTAAGGTAGGATTCATTCAGCAGTACATGAACTGAGAACTTCCAGTAAAAGCTTCCTGGGAAAAATAGCAGCAACCTCATATATGCAGATGATACCACTCTAATCTGAGAAAGTGAAGAGCAACTAAACAGCCTCTTGATGAGGATGAAAGAGGAGAGTGAAAAAGCTGGCTTGAAACTCAACATCAAATAAATTAAGATTATGGCATCCAGTCCCATCACTTCATGGCAAATAGAAGGGGAAAAAGTAGGAGCAATGACCGATTTTGTTTTCTTGGGCTCCAAACTCACTATGGATGGTGACCACAGCCGTGAAATTAAAAGACACTTGCTTCTTGGANCCATTGTATATCCTTGCCTCCTTTGTTGAAGATAAGGTGACCATAGGTTCGTGGATTTATCTCTGGGCTGAGAATGCCCTTATTTTTAAGAGATGTGTACTGAATTATTTAGAGGTGAGAAGATACCATGTCTTACATTCAAATGATTTACCTATAAAATATGTCAAATAACAGTTCTTAAATCTGTTTAGGGTTTCTGCAAGCTATGGCCAATAGACCAGTTCTAGTCAACTGCCTGTTTTTATCCACGATCTAAGCATGGATTTAACCTGTTTAAATGGTTGAATAAAATATGAAAGAATATTTTCTGGCATGTGAAAACTATATGAAAATTCAAATTTCAGTGCCCATATACTTGTGTTGGAACACAGCACTGTTCATTCATTTGCATATTGTCTATGGTTGCTTTTGCATAAGAGCATATTTTCTTATATGTTGGGAACTTTGATGATGAATAAAAATCAGCTTCACAATCAACATGTAAGGTTATCAGAAACATATTATTTTTTTTATTTTTAGTGTATTTTTACCAGTATATTAAAAGTAAGAAATTGAAGTTTAAAGACATCGGCTAAGTGACTTGCCAATGTCCCTCTACAGTTGGTAATATAAACCAACTCTAGGTTTACTTACCAATAGTAGGTAAATCTAGTATATAAATCCCTATCGTCATGTTCAATAGCTCCTGATGAAACAATTTTTAAAATATGTGTTTTTCTCATTTGAGATCTTCTAAAAGATATTCTGGCCATAACCATTTGTGTTTTAACAAACAACTAACTTTCTCTGCAGTGTTTTAAAGAACTGCATTTCTGCAGATTGTGTTTCATATTTAAGAATCACACACAATCTCAATGCCTTTTATCACAAAGTTACACTGAAATCACATGTTAAAAATCAGTCATAATATGTTTGCATCTTGCCCCTAGGACTGCATGGTATTTATACAACCATTTTGAAGGGCCTCTTGGTATCATGTAATAAGATTACACAGCCCAAAGTATATCAAATTCATTTCTCAAGTAGTTCTTGCAAGTCATAGTGAAAAATCAGAGTACATCCCACTACTTATCACTGAAGATAAGATAGATAAATAAATGTTGGTATATCCACATAGTTAAAATGAATTACTAGATTGAAATGTATAACATAGGCAAACCTCAAAAACATAAGTCAAGTTGAAAAGGCAAGTATCACAATGGAACATTACTCAGTCACGAAGAGGAATGAAATAATGCCGTTTGCAGCAACATGGATAGGCCTGGGATTATCACAGTGACGAAAGTAAGTCAGAGAAAGACAAATATCATATAATAACACTTATATGTAGAATCCAAAAAAAATGTAATAAGATGAACTTATTTCCAAAAGAGAAACAGGCTAATGGCATAGAAAACAAACTTATGTTTACCAAAGGAAAACTGGGTATGGGAGGAATAAACTAGGAGTTTGGGGTTAACATATACCCACTACTATTAATATACATAAAATAGATTATCAACAACAACCTGTTTATGGTATAATAACCTACAAGGGAAAAGAACCTGAAAAAGAGTGTAGATGTACACTCATATATATATGAATATATATATATATATATATAGCTGAATCACTTTGCTGTACAGCTGAAGCTAATATAACACTGCAAACCAACTATACTTCAGTTAAAAAAAATACATTTACAAACAGCAGGTATTGTTGTAAAATCACTGCACATTCCTTTGGATTTTTTAGACATTGTGTATATGTATATCTGCCTCTATGTAAAATTGTAAAGACACAAAAATGCATGGGAGAGAGTATCTCAGAAGAAGAAGGGAGAATTAGATTTGGGGAGGGAAGAACAGATAGAGGAGGATTATAAATATATTAGTCATGGAATTTTTGTTTGATCTGAACAAATCATGTCAAAATGTTAACAATTGTTCCTTGTGGGTGGTGAGTACAGAGTTCTTAAAGTGTTCTGTTGGTTTTTCTGTAAAGTCTAACTGGAAAGAAAGGAGGACCTGGATACTGCCCCCCACCCCGGGGCCATGCCATCTTCTCCATAGATCACCCCCACAACAGAGTCCTGCTTCCCGGGCCCTGCTCTCTCCACAGGGCTTCAAGCCTAGAGGTCAAAGGCTCTGACTTTTTCTAGCCCAGACCTTGCCATCTTCTCTTGATGTTTTGCCAAATCCCTACTTAAAACTTTAATAAATAGTCCTTTGATTAAATTCTCCTAAAATTTTCCTATTTTGAGAAACAAATACAACTGGGACCTACAATTTCACCACTTACTGCTTTTTTCTGAGTCAATGCAATTTCGTAAAAGAAATAATTGACAGGAAAATATTGGAAAGTATGCAGCAAAATGGGCTTTCCCGGTGGCTCGGCGAGAAAGAAGCCACCTGCAGGAGATGCAGGAGACCCTGGTTTGGTCCCTGGGTCGGGAAGATTCCCTGGAAAAGGACGCGGCAACGCGCCCCAGTACCCAGAACCCCATGCCGTGGCGGAGGCAGATAAGACTGGAAACACTAGACTCAGCACAGCAAGTGGCAAAGTATCGTTAGTTACAGCCGATTTGATTACGTCCGCACAGAGTTAAAGAGGGATCAGCTGCGACAATCAAAGAAATAAGATGCTTTAGCAAGTGGGTTTATTAGGAAGGTATAAACAATATTAATAATTATATACAGGGACACCTTTAAAAGTTAATGGAACTGGGGGGGAGAGAGATGAGCAGGCGGAGAGCTCAGAAGATTTTTAGGGCAGTGGAACTGCTCTGTATGATACTATAAAGGTAATACACATTTGTCCAGACCCACACATGTGCAGCACCAGCAATGAGCCCTAATGTCCCATTAGAACTCCAGCTGATAAGGATGTGTCAGTGTAGATGGGAACAAAGGCACCACTCCTGCAGGGCACGTGTGGGGGCAGGGAAACCCCTGTACCTTACTATAAAGGTAATACACATTTGTCCAGACCCACACATGTGCAGCACCAGCAATGAGCCCTAATGTCCCATTAGAACTCCAGGTGATAAGGATGTGTCAGTGTAGATGGGAACAAAGGCACCACTCCTGCAGGGCACGTGTGGGGGCAGGGAAACCCCTGTACCTTCCACTCAATTTTGAACTTTTTTTTTTTCCATAAAAAGAAACTTGCCTCCCTTCTGACTGGCATGTAATAAGAAAGCTGTGGTACATATACACAATGGAATATTACTCAGCCATTTTCATGCAAATTCTTGGAGCTGCTTGGGGAAAAAAGCTTTACGTTACTGTTGTGTAATGAAGATATTTTATTTCAAATATTTTAAAACTAATAAATGCAAGATACCTTATGAACAAGGATTTGAATAACAAGAATCATGGAAGACCTCTTATAATTTTAAAAAAGAAATCAAATTACAATGAGAGAGTTTCTTGTTCCTACAAAAAATGACTAAGCTTTCTATGGCCACACTCCCCCTATGATTACTACTAAAATATCTGGCCAGAATACAATAAATAACCACTGGAGGACTCTGTTAATTACATAAATAAAACAAGGTGGATTGTGGAGAGGAGCTAAAACTGGAGTGACAACTCCTGAGAGAATGAAGTTCCCATATTGTTTTCTTCTCATGGCTTTGAGCTGAGTGTGGGTCCCCAGTGTGGAGTCTTATCACTGCTGAAATTCAGCCTCTGTGCACCAGTGCTTGATTAAATCTCAGAGACACAGTTTTGGGTAAAGCCAAAATAAATAGCTTTATTACCTTGCCAGGCAAAGGGGTACACAGTGGACTAATGCCTTCGAGTCTGTGTGTCCCACCCTGGAGGGGTTGGGGCTTGTCTTATAGTAATGATTCAAGGAGCAGGGAGTGATCAACTCATGGACAATCTTCTGATTGTGAGGTAATTAGAAGTCAGCATCATCAACCCTTTCATTCCAATGGTTTCGAATCTTTGTGCTTGTGGTCAGCAGTTTTCATCTGGAGGGTGTCTGCTTCCTATAAAAAACATTATAATAATATGTGTCAGACCATTGTGTATATATCTTTCGGAGAAAAAATGGGTTTGTTGATTCTGCCACGTGGCAGATTTATAGCCCAAATTGCTACCAGTTCCCCAGCCCAACAGCTATTCTTATTTTCTGTGTATGTGTGTTAGTTAGTTGCTTAGTTGCGTCCAACTCTTTGCAACCTCAAGTACTGCAGCCCGCTAGGCTCCTCTTTCCCTGGAATTCTCCAGGCAAGAATACTGGAATGGGTTGCCATTCTCTTCTCCAGGGTTTCTTCCTGACCCAGGGACCAAACCTGGGTCTTCTGCATTGCAGGCACATTCTTTATCATCAGAGCTACCAGGGAAGCCCATTCTTTGTTTCTACATCTTCATGTTTCCCTATCATTAAGTTTTGAGTCAGCCTTTTACTTCAAAAGACAAGGACATAGGGGCTTATAGATGGTTTCCATATGTCATCTAAGGAGGCCTAAGTTAAAATCCATACTTTTTGTCCAGAGGCATCACGAAAAACACCCCTGTGGAGGGAGGATGGTGGAAGTAGTCCCTGTTCGTGTGTTTAGTTCATATTTTTCTTCTGTAACTTTGTCACAAAAATAGGTCCTGATTATGGAACTGTACCTACATCGAAAGCAAGTGTACATAAACATTTTCTGGTCAGAGGCACCAGAGAAAACACTCTTTCATATCAGAGGTAGAAATCCTACAGAGAAGACAACAGAATTGGGGATTCTTCATTCTCTGTATGAGTCCACACACCCTTGAGCTCATCCAGGGGCAGTGAATGTGGAGGAGAGACCCAGACAAGTGTAGCAGAGACTTGGTAACCAAAGTAAGATTTGAACCATCACATAAGTCTTAAGGAATTCCTTAGTGACACAGAACAGACCCAGTGCAGTGGAACAAAAAGCCTCAAACGAATCTAAGACTGGAACTACTGCTCACAAAAGCAGGACAGACCTGGAATCTGATCCTATCTGTACTGATGGGCTGTTAAAATAAAATATTAACATTTTTCAGGAGATTCGAATGGGACTGAGCGTCTACACAACATAATATTCAAAGACTTTATGACAGCAAATGTATTAATAATTCTGTCAAAGAGGTAGAGATACAATTGAAATGAATGGAAAGGAGTTTACAACAGAGAAATAAAAACTTAAAGAGAAGCAAATAATAACTTCAGAACTTAAAAATAGAATGCATCGGCTAAAGAGCAAAACAGCTATGACTGAGGAAAGAGCTGGTGAACTGGCAGACAGGTCTGTGTAAACGATCCATCTGAAAGAAAGAAGGAAAAAGGTGAAAAAATAGAACTTTGGGGAAGTTCTATTTATGCAGGAAAATATTAATGATGAATTTGTCTAACATTTGTGCCACTTGAGTCCCAGCAAGAGAAGAGAAATTGGTGAATGAAAAAAAAATTGTATTAATAATGATCAAAAACTTTCCCAAGCTGGAAAAATTAATAAATTTACAGATTCTGGAAGTTCTGTGAATCTCAAGTGAAAAAAAAAAAAAGTAAAGAAAGTCATGCTCTTACAGATACTAACCAAACTTCTCAAAAGTAAAGATAAAGAAAAATTCTTGTAAACAATTAGAGAAAAAAGAAGATATTCAGGGGTAAAGAAGATATTGATTATACAAAAGACCACAGTTTTTCATCAGAAAATGTATAAACCTTATTCACTAGAGCCAAGACATAGAAACACCTAAGTGGTGTATCTTGCTGGATAAAAAGATAAAGAAAAAAGTGTGTGTATATATATGTATGTGTATGTATGTATATATTGCAATAGGATATTGTCATGGTCGCTGTTCAGTTGCTAAGTGATGTCCAACTCTTTGTGATCTCATGGACAGCAGCATGCCAAGCTCCTCTGTCCTCAATTATCTTCCAGAGTTTGCTCAAATTCATGTCCATCTAGTTGGTGACACTATCTAGCTATCTCATCCTCTGCCACCTCCTCTTTTTGCCTTCATTTTTTGCAAGGATCAGGGTTTTTCCATTTCTCTTTGCATTAGCTTTAGCTTCAGCAACAGTCCCCCCAATGAATATTCAGGGTTGATTCCCTTTAGGATTGACTGGCTTGATCTCCTTGAAGTCCAAGGGAGCCTCAAGAATCTTCTTCAGCACCACAGTTTGAAAGCATCAATTTTAGAGCTCAACCTTCTTTATGATCCAACTCTCATATCCATACAAGACTACTAGAAAAACAATAGCTTTGACTATATGGACAAAGATCAGTAATGTGATCTCTCTGCTTTTTAACACACTGTCTGGGTTTGGCATGGTTTCTAATCCAAGGAGCAAGTGTCTTTTAATTTCATGGCTATAGTCACCATTTACAGTGATTTTGGAGCCCAAGAAAATAGTCTGTCATTGTTTCCATTTTCCCCATCTATTTGCCAAGAAGTAGTGGGTCCAGATGCCATGATCTCAGTTTTTGAATGTTGAATTTTAAGCCAGCTTTTTCACTCTCCTCTTTCACTTTCATCAAGAGGCTCTTTAGTTCCTTTTCACTTTCTCCCATTAGGGTGGTGTCATCTGCAAATCTGAGGTTATTGATATTTCTCCCAGCAATCTTGATTACAGTTTGAGCTTCATCCAGCCTGGTGTTTTGCATGACGTACTTTGCATATAAGTTATATAAGCAGGGCAACATATACAGCCTTGATGTACTCCTTTCCCAATTAGGAACCAGTCCATTATTCCATGTCCATTCTAACTGTTGCTTCTTGACCTGCATACAGGTTTCTCAAGAGGCAAGTAAGGTGGTCTGGTATTTCCATCTCTTTAAGAATTTTCCACAGTTTGTTGTGATCCATACAGTCAAAGACTTCAACTTAGTCAGTGAAGCAGAAGTAGACATTTTTCTAGAATTCCCTTTCTTTTTCTATGGCCCAGAGGATGTTGTTAATTTGATCTCTGTTTCCTCTTCCCTTTCTAAATCCAGCTTATACATCTGAAGGTTCTCAGTTCACAAGCTGTTGAAGCCTAGCTTGAAGGATTTGAGCATTACCTTTCTAGCATGTGAAATGAGTGCAATTTTACAGTAGTTTGAATATTCTTTGGCATTGCCCTTCTTTGGGATTGGAATGAAAACTGACCAAAAAAAAAAAAAAAAAAAAACTGACCTTTTCCAGTTCTGTGACCACTGCTGAGTTTTCTAAATTTTCTGGCCTATTGAATGCAGCACTTTAACAGCATCATCTTTCAGAATTTGAAGTAGCTCAGTAGGAAGCATTACTATAAACAAAGGGAGGAGGTGATGGAATTCTAGCTGAGCTAAGAGAGTAGATCTCAAAATTTTCAAACACATGCAGGTGAAAGATGTGTTAACTAACCTTATTGTGGTAATTATTTTGCAGTGCATAGGCCTATCCAATCATCATGTTGTACACTTCAATGTTACACATTGACATATCTCAATTATAGCTCAGTAAAGCTGTGGGGAGAAAAGGAAAAGAGCATATAGATCAGAAGACAAAGAAACATGATCTGTAAAGTGCTTAAAGTAAAGCACTCTTAACCCAGTAAAAGCATCCCTCAGGACTGAAGGAAAAGTAAATATATTCTCAGTTGCAGGAATTAATAAAATTTATCCTCAGTAGAATATCTTTAAGGACAACTTAAATAACATAATTTAATATTTAAGAAAATTATTGTTGGTGTTGTAGTTCAGTCCCGCAGTCAGGTCCAACCCTTTGAGACCCTATGGAGTGCAGCACACCAGGCTTCCCTGTCCTTCACCAACTCCTGGAGTTTACTCAAACTTACATCCATTGAGTCGGTGATGCCATCCAATCATCTTGTCCTTTGTCACCCCCTTCTCCTCCAGCCTTCAAGCTCCTCCTGCCTTCAAGTATAAAAAAATTATACTTGAGGGAAATTTGTAATTTAAAGAAAAAGGAAGAGCAGCAGAAAAGCCATTTGGAGAAACATAGAAGACTGCTTTTCACTTATTAAATTCTTCAAGATATATATGACCATTGAACTTAAATCATATTATATGGCATTGTTTTCTAAGTATGTTGTGCTACATAGGAAAACTGTAACTTTAATGGAGGGAAAAAAGTGACAAATATGGTTGCAAGAATTCTACTTGATGTGAAAATATGGACTGTAAGGAAACTGTGAAAAGTTATGTGTCCATATTATACTCTCTAGAACAACTGCTAAAGAAAGCTTAAAATATATTAAAAATTAAGAGAATGATATACTAAAATAGTATATATACTATATAGTATATATACTATTAAAAATAATACTACTGTTATTTAATCTAACTATTGAAATAGCAGACAGGCAGTAAAATAGGAATGGTGAAATAAGAACAAGAAAGCCACCCCCCAACCAAAAAATTAAAAACTGGAAGAATAAAATTTAATATCAATGATTATATTAAATATAAATGATCCATGGACATTTATTAAGAAATAATTAAAATATCATTTACATTTTAAAATATAATGTAGAACTATACATTGTTTACTTGTGGCTTAACTGGTAAAGAATCTGCCTGCAATGCGGGAGACCTGGGTTCAGTCCCTGGGTTGGGAAGATTCCCTGGAAAAGGAAAAGGCTACCCACTCCAGTATTCTGGCCTGGAGAATTCCATGGGCTGTATAGTCTATGGGGTCGCAAAGAGTCAGACATGACTGAGTGGCTTTCACTTTCACTTTCATACATTTTTTATAAGAAAATCATGCTAAATGTAAAAAAGAAAAAAGTCTTGACCATGTAAGATTTATAGTAATGTAAGGCTGGTTCAACAGTCAGAATGCAATTTACCAGATCAACTAAATAAAAAGAAAAAGACATAACAATCTTAATGGATGAAAAACAATTGTTTGAAAATTCCACTCAATAAATATGTACAGCAAACTAAAATAGAAGAGACTTGCTCAACCTGATCAAGGGTACCTTTGAGAAACCTACAGGTAACAACATAGAGTAGAGAAAGATTGCATGCTTTCTCCCTAAGTAAAAGTGATTCAAGAAATCCCACTTGCAGATTTACAAGGAGGTTCTAATTAGTGCAAGGAGGCAAGAAAAAGAAATAGAGGACATATCAATCAGAAAGGAATAAATAAAAGTGCCACTTTTCACAGATGACATCATAGTCTACATAGAAAATGCCATTCTATTGTTCAGTTGTTCAGTCACGTCTGACTCTTTGTGACCCCATGTACTGCAGGATGGCAGGCTGCCCTGTCCTTCACCATGTCACAAAGCTTGCTCAAACTTATGTCCATTGAGTTGGTGATGCCATCCAACCATCTCATCCTCTGTGGTTCACTTCTCCTCCTACCTTCAGTCTTTTCCAGCATCAGGGTCTTTTCTAATGAGTCAGTTCTTCTCATCAGGTGGCAAAAGTATTGGATTTTCAGCTTCAACGTCAGTCCTTCCAATGAATATTCAGGACTGATTTCCTTTAGGATGGACTGGTTTGATTTCCTTGCAGTCTAAGGGACTCACAAGAGTCTTCTCCAACACCACAGTTCAAAAGCATCAACTCTTTGGTATTCAGCCTTCTTTATGGTCCAACTCTCACATCAATACATGACTACTGGAAAAACCACAGCTTTGACTATATGGACATTTTTTGGCAAAGTAATGTCTCTGCTTTTTAAAACACTGTCTATGTTTGTCATAACTTTTCTTCCAAGGAGCAAATGTCTTTAAATTTCNGGTTCCTGTGCCTTTTCTAAATCCACCTTGAACATCTGGAAGTCCTTGGTTCACGTATTGTTGAAGCCTAGCTTGGAGAAATTCGAGAATTACTTTGCTAGTATGTGAAATGAGTGCAACTGTGTGGTAGTTTGAACCTTCTTTGGCATTGCCCTTTTTGGGATTGAAATGAAAACTGAAATTTGTACAAAAGATACTAGAAATAATAAGTGAGTTAAGCGCAGACCCAGGACACAAGTTCATACAGAAAAGTCAATTACATTTCTTTGTTTTAAAAATGAACAATTGGAAATTGAAATTTTAAAAGGACAACTTACAATAGCACCAAAAAACATGAAATAATTATATACAAAATATTGATAATTATATTTTGTCTCTATGTTGAAAACTACACAGTACTCATTTACTAATAGTTAATTAAATATTTAATTAAATGAAACCAAAGAAGACAAATAAATGGAGACAGAACAGATTAATGTATTGGAAGATGTTTCTGAAAATGAATCTATGTACTCAATGCAATCTATACCAATATTAGTATTAAAAAATACCAAATTTAATTTATATGGAAAGTAAAAGAAAGTATAATAGCCAAAACAATTTTGAAAACAAAGACTATATTTGGAGGACTGATTTAAAAACTAACTGAAAAATTTTTTTTCAGGTATGCAGATGGCACCACCCTTATGGCAGAAAGTGAAGAAGAACTAAAGAGCCTCTTGATGAGGGTGAAAGAGGAGATTGAAAAAGTTGGCTTAACANGTCCTGAATATTCATTGGAAGGACTGATGCTGAAGTTGAAACTCCAATACTTTGGCCACCAGCTGCAAAGAGCTGACTCATTTGAAACAATCCTGATGCTGGGAAAGATTGAAGGCAGGAGGAGAAGGGGATGACAGAGGATGAGACAGTTGGATGGCATCACCAACTCGATGGACACTAGTTTGAGCAAGGTCTGAGAGTTGGTGATGGACAGGGAAGCCTGGCATGTTGCAGTCCATGGGATTGCAGAGTCAGACATGATTGAGAAACTGAACTGAACTGGAAACTATATTAATCAAGACTTCCCTCATGGCTCATTGGTAAAGAATCTGCCTGCAGTGCAGGAGACCTGGGCTTGATTCCTGAGTCAGGAAGATTCCCTGGCAAAATGACTAACCACTCCAGTATTCTTGCCTCTAGAATCCCATGGACAGAGGAGCCTGGTGGGCTGCTGTCCTGGGGTTGCAGAGAGTCACATGACAAAGGAGTTCTATCTAGAATATATGAATAACTGCCAGAATCCAGTATGAAAATAAACAGTCCAACAACAAATGAACTGCCTCTTCACCAAAGAAGATATACTAATGGCATGGAAGTATATGACAAGATGCATGTCACATTAGGGAAGGCAAATTAAATCACAATGAAACATCACTACTACATGTGTAATGAAACGGTATTAAATAAATAAATAGTGTGAGGAGAGGAATCTGTGTATTTTTGAAGACTATTTTGTGAAAGTTATTAAAAATTTAATGAACACAGTCTTAGATACAGTAATTCTACTTCTAAGAATTTGTTAATTTCCATACATTTAAGCAAAGATGTACAATGTTATCCACCTAATGTATATGTGTATGAAAGTTTTCTATCCATTAAAATATGAAAAGAATGTATATGAGATTGATAACTGTAACTGTAGCTAGAGAATTGGGTGGGAAAGTAGGGATGGGAAGATATTTATTTTTAAATTTATACTCTATGCATTTCTCTCCAACTTTTACAATATGTTTGCATTTCGTCTATAATTAAAAGCCTAAACAACTGAGCAAGATACAAATTAATATGCAGTGGAATAGGCAGGATGTGTTGTTAGCATTTGGCAAATTGAAGGATTCCAAGTTCCAAGTTAAGACACACTTTCAAAGAACTCTAGTCCAGTAAATTGCATTGTACCATCTGTTTTTGGCTCCCTATAAAGTGAAATGTGGTGCCTAAAATACTCTCTTTAATAAGTGCAATTTTGTCACCTAAAGCTATGTTCTTTCTGTCATTGTGTCAGTGTAACATAGTCCCTCCCCCGTGTTCTGAAGCTGGTTTCTCCACAATGGGTATTATAATGTCATACTTTATTATCCTCCCCTACATCAGTTGTTTATAACTTTTTAAAGAAAACAGAAGTCTGCTGTGTATTTTCTGTTCTGCATTGGTCTGAATGCAGTACTTCCTGCATGGTGCTCAGGAAAAGTAGCTGATAACGGCCCCTCAATCCCACACTCTGGGTCTCTACTGCATTACTCTGGTTCAAGGCTTTTGCCTAGATTATTTTAAGTGACTTAAAAACTTGTCTCTGAAACTCCAGCACATCTTTCAGACCTGCTGCCCATGGAGCACCCACATGGAGCTTTCTAAAGCATAATTGCAGCCGTGGCGCCCCGGCCTAAACTCCATCAGTAACCCCCACTTCCCCCTATGACTCCAGACTCATTGCTCATCACCCTGTGTCCCAGCCAAGCAGAACTTCCCAGTCACTACATTCCCTTGTGCTTGGGGCAAACTCCTCTTTCTTCTCCCTCAACCACCCCGACCCTGGCCTCTACAGTTCTTCACCAGAAGCCTTTCTTGATCTGTCTGAGCTGAGTCCCTCCAAGTGGTTTACTTAACTGTCCTGTGTTTTCATCCAACCAAGGTCCACATGAATTATTTAATTATATTCTTGACCCCCAAACTACTGGATAAGCTCCAAGGGCAGGAACCATCTCTAATCCATTTTTCTATCTGCTGTGCAGAGCACAGTGTCTACAACAGGATCAATATCCTAAAAATGCTTGCTTAATTGAATAAAGAGACCAACCCCAACAGTGGAGAAAATGACATCTTTAAGTTGATGTTCAGTTGCCTGGAAACACTAAGATGTTGGGTCTGTGAATCATATTTCAAACAATAAAAACACAGCCACTGAACAATGATTTTTTTTTTTTCACACACACATTTCACTTTTTACAGCAAGAAGCAAATGGAAACAGGGGGACTGTGGGCCAAAGATTTTACTTTGTCAAAAGACAATTTCATGGGTGTGTCTCCAGGCAGTGTGCAATTCATATGCTTTTGGAGCAGTTGTCATTAAAAACTGTCCTAGG